GCGGTGCGCGCAATTTTGTGGGCGGATGCTCTGTCGTCGCTCGCTACTGTAAAGCTGATCGTTCTTATGCGGGTGTATACAATACACAAGTATGTCCGAACATATTCCCTTCGGACACTTTCATTCGGACAAAATATGTTCCCCTTAAGTCCAATACAAATGCCAAGTATGTCCGACTGAAATTGTCCGAACGGTGTCCGCAAAGTGATCATATTCACCCATACCTTGATGGAGCGCTTTTCTGCGGCAGTGACAACCTTGACCTCCGTGATCCATTCGCTGCGGCACATTTGTTTGAATGGCCCCATAACACCCACATCCAGGGGTTGAAGCACACTCGTTGTGTTTGCCGGCAGCGGCTGTAGGCATGCACTGCAAAACAACTTGTCTTCAAGGATCTTGTAGGATTTCTTCGACACATGGTAGGTAAAGTTGTCCGCAAGCACAAAAGAGGGACAGTCCACTTCGGGCTACAATACTTCACGAAGGTAGATCGACCACACACGCTGGTCCATGTCGGCCGTCTTTTGCACAACATTCACCGGGCCGGGTGGGTACGTTGGGAGCTCGTTGACATCAATCTCACCCCCGGAGTTCCTTTGACAATGATCAACAGCGGGATCTTCGTACCTACACACAGCATTGCTATCAATACCATCAGCCCGAACTAATAATGCCACAGTGATCTTGACAGAGTACTTCTGTGTCTCCTGAATGCGTCACAAACCACCAATCTTTGCCAACATACGTCCTGGTAGACTATCGTAATACACGGGAGTTTCGTCGACATTGATCCACGCACGCTTGGGAAGATGGATGAACTTGACATTGAATTCAGCTAGGAATATTTCTTGAACAGCAAGAAGTTTTCCTTGGGGCACCTTCGCAACCCACCAGCAGCACTGTACAACCGGTTCACCGACATGAACACCATCAACACGACGTCGCCTGCCAGCGGTCAATCCAAGTACAACCTCTTCCCACTCTTCAGTGGTTGCTTTCGACCACCGACACGTGCGTGGCAGAACGAGCTACCGCACAAACGGCCACCAACACTGATGGATATCGACACGGATAACAGCATACCGATGTGTCCGATGGTCAAGACCGCAGCACCCATGCCCAACCCACCAGCAGCACTGTACAACCTGTTCACCGGCCTGAACAACGCCTACATGAAATCGCCTGTCACCATCCAGTCCAAACCCCACCTGTTCACAACCCGTCACTAGCTGCCGTCGCCCACTGATACGGCTAAAACCGTCGTCGACAGAGGGATGGCAGTGTCCGCCCGCAATGAAATTGACCGAGCCACAGGCTCAGCGGCCTCAACACCACCGACAGGACGGCACATGCAGCCCAAACCCCACCCGGTCCCAATCCGTCACTGGCTGCCGTCGCCCACTGACACGGCTTTGGCACACCGGCCGAATGCGCCTCCGCTGAAACTGTTGCCACCACCGACGGACGACGAAACGGACTACAGCATACCGCTGTGAACGACGATCTCACACTGGTCCGGTGCACATGTGCCAGTTTCTTATTCCATACATAGGAAGCTCGATAATCGCGGCATGCTACGCAAGCGTGGGTACTCGATGCGGGGTGAAACGATTGTTTTCCGGGGCGAATTTAACCGCAAACCCCGTGTGTCACTGCTTTGTTTCATCGGAGCTGACGGTTTGGTGGACTACTATGACACTGAGGGAACCTTTGACCGAGCGACCTTTGTACGGTGCTGCACTTTGTTCGTTCATTCAGGCCTTGTTGCGATTCACCCTGGTGGCAACTCTGTGTGGATCCTGGACGGCGCCAAGATACATTGCCATGCCGAGATTGTGATGTACCTCCGAGAAATTGGCATTGTGCCAATATTCCTCCCTGCCTATTGCCCGTTTTACAACCCCATTGTGTACTTTTTTGGATATCTCAAGAAGTCATTTCAGCGCAATTATGAAGAATGTCGAACTGAGCAGAGCTTAATTTTGTTTGTGGTGCGAATCATGAGCAAAATGAAGTACCTGGACATGTCCAAGGTATTGGCACACTGCGGTTGGTTGAGTACCGGTCGCTTTGACCCATGCAAAGGCCTCCAACATGGTAAAGTTCGTCTGGGCGATGTTAGTATTGATACCAGTGATTTAGGTATTAATGAAGCTCAGTAATCAAGTGTTTTGCCATGTGACAATTACTCCTAGATTTACTACAGTTAAGATGCAGATGATGCAAACGAACAGTGCTGAAGAACTTTGATATTGCTTTATTCCATGTCATCCATGGTGTAATCATGATCCATGTCGTCGATATTTTCAATATCGTTCAATTCAGTCGTAACTACCTCATCGTGTGGTATTGGGGCTAGATCTGTTTCCATTGAAACAAGAACTTCCCCTTTGTTCGCAAATCCCCGCTGAAATATTTTCAAACGATGCACGACAATGTCAACAGCTCCGGCTAAATCGTCCGGCGAGGGACGCATCCACAACGTCCAATCCTGATCGAATGTGACGGTGAAACGATTCCATGCGAACTTGATGCCCCGATATCCTTGGTTTCAGCCGAGCAAGCACGTGTGGAGGCGGCATTTGCTGGACTCGGGATTCCCAAGCCAAGAGCGGCGGTTTCACATCAAAGGTGGCCCAAATCCGCCCGATAGGGTACGCAGCCTCCCATGTGTCATCCCACTTGGTGTGCAACTTGGCCATATACTCTTGAATAGTGGCTTCCGTTGGGGCACAAGATCGATCTTTGTTCCTTGGGGCGACGCAACATGTTGTGAAGTCAACGAGTTCATCCTTTGTGGCGACTTCATTCCCGTACTTTTAAATCGACAACGAGATGTGTGCGCTTCGTATCGAAACAAGCCACTCGTTCATTTTCGACTCATCCTCCAACTTCTTAGTGTGGCTCCCGTAACGCAACGCAAGGATACGTCCAAAGTGTGACTCGTTGATGTCGTCGTCCAATACGGCCCATGCGCCATCGTCGTTGCGCTCGGCAAGCCCAAGACACTCCGTTTTGAACTTCGTAAAGATCTTGGTCTGGATTTCGCTCCAAGTGGAACCCCCGCAGACGTACAGCGCTAACTTTATAGCGGATGTGTTTCGCTGGCCAACAGTATCCTTGATCAATGGATCTAGTACATTTTCGTAGAGACTGTTGGGGTGGGCGCTAGTGATTTCCTGAGACTGGGGAGGGGGGCTTTGAGATGACCTCGTGTTCCTGAAGAGGCAATCGGTGAGAGTTGGTGGTGTTGTTGCCTGCATCCTTCTCAAATCCGCGAGTTGTGTTGTGAATGGCAATCAAAATGACACGTCGAGGGTTTAGTCTTGTTTGATTGGTTACAATTATATCCAATTATACGCATGAATTAATTTTAACATATGGGAGAGATTGAGGCCCAGTTCGGCTGGCGAGATTCAATTGAGCGGGGTCCGGAAATTCGTACCGAATCTCCAATATTTGGAACCAATTTTTCATATTGCTAAAAATATCTAGTTAGAACAGGCTAATGTCAGTGTTATATTTGCTACAGTAGTCCCCCGCAATAGGGAGCTCAGGTGGTGGAGCATCGGTTTCTTAACTCAAAGGTTGTGGGTTCGATCCCCGGATTCCCCGGATTATTTCCGCAAGGATTTATCCGTCCCTCCCCTGGGGAATCCGGATAACAAGGGCTGCGTACGAAGACGAGGACCGAACTTCGAAGAAGATCGGTCGAAGCACGAGGTATGAAGCGTTGAG